AAGCTCTAGAATAATAATGATAATAATAAAAATATTTGAAAAAGCTGTTCTGATGATGAAATCTATTATAAAAATTATGATCCTGCCAAAATTCAAGTATTTTCTTTATATAATGATAATTTTACTACAATTTCGTGAAATTTTGGATATCTGTTTGTGTGTGTATGTAAGGGGGAGAGAGAAAAAGGTTTCTATTTATCTACGAGAAACTATTTTCTAATAATTTCGTATCTAATAATAATAATGATCAAAGAAGGAAATGTAATAATAATGTTGAGTGTCATCTATTTGAATAATGTTTTGTTACACATTTACGAAATTGTTTCTTTCTCCTAACAGCTGTTTGAAAATAATTTCGGAAAATTGACATTATTAAAAAAAGTTAGATTAGACAATAATATAAAAATCATACTGTCAGTTGGCTTCAATACCCTATGAAATTTATATAAAATATAAATTTTTAAAATTTAATAAAAATTTGAAATACTACAATGTGGAAAGTATATACATAAATAATAAATGTAAACCATATGATGATGGAAGATATTAGAATTAATGCGCGTGATTTTAATATAGATATACCTATATAATTTACAAAGTATATAAATATGCAAAGATATGCGAATGAGCAATTTATTAAATCATTTTCTTAAAAAAAATTTTGGATGTTTTTTTAATTTTTATAATGAAATAAAATTGTAATAATTATAGATTATCACAAATCTTCAGTACATTTAATATTATCAATATATAACGTAAATAAGAATAAATATTTTATTTAGTATTTTCTGATAGCATGTATATATATATATATATATATATATATATATATATATATATGTCGTTAATATATTATTTTACAAAATTAAGTTTTAAAATTTATTATTATACAAAGGAAAAAAATATGTATCCTTTATTTCAATTTAAAATACTATTTGATACTAATTTTGAACTTCCAAAAACAAAAAATTATGCATAATTTATACACTATTTAACAGTTTAATTAAATTTAATTATTTTATTAATTATTTAATTATTTTATTAAAATTAAAACTTATCTCCTAATTTTTCGATATATATAATTAAGACACTTAAAATGTATATACATATATTAAATAGATTAAAAACTAAGAACCACTTATTTAGTTGTCATTCATATGTTTATAAATATTAATTTAAAAATTATGTGTAAAATTATATGTATATATATATATATATCTATACATATATGCATATCGACAAATTTAAGAGATATAAGTTTCAAATTTTTCTCTAAAAAATAATTAAATTTAATTAAACTGTTAAATAGTGTATAAATTATGTATGATTTTTTGTTTGTATACAAATATATATATATATATATATATATATTTATTTATTTATTATTTCTATAAGTGCGCTTATAAATATTAAATAATAAATTGTGAAAAATTATATTGTGTTTATTATATGTATAATCTATGTATATCATATGTATAAATGTATTTTATATCTATGTTTATAGACCTATGTTTATATTTTAGTCTCGCGCGGCGCAATTACTTTATCGGTTCGGTGCGAGTCGGGAATTAAATGATGAGAGAATCTCATCAATCTCAGAACGGAATCTCTCGCATGTAAAATTGCTCTATCTATCTTTCGCCTCAAAATCGACCTTCGATAGGCTTCGAGAGGCTTCGAGAATTTTCTATTCGTTTACTTCTTTGTTTCTTAATCGTCTTGATATTTGTCTCTGTGCTTCTCGTCTTTTGTCTCTATCTGTCTCGTCTGTTATGTTTTTATTTATATTTATTTATGTCTCGGTACTTTCGCTTGTGTGTGTGACCGTATTCGTATACGTATTTTCGCTCGATAATTTTTGGAAAGAATGTGACGATGTAATCGCCACAATGTATTTGTTTATAAATCTTTGAGGTTAAACCTTGTATTTTTTTTTTTGCCAACATGTTATTATCTGATACATTTTTAAGTGTTAATGTTAGAAGAAGTTGTGCCTCGCAAAGAAGCTCACACACTTTCCGGAATCAGAGAAATTTTTCAATTTCTGCGAAACAATAGTATCAAGTATGTATGTGAAAGTGCTCTTATTATCGATTTTTTGAAACGCATGTCTCATATATTTCGAAAAAAGAATAATTGAATCTATTTTAAAAAATATATACCGTTCTCGCATGTATCATTCTATTGTAGCTTTTCAAAATCGCAAGTAGACAAAATGATTACACGTACAATATTATTATGTAGTATAATAGATTGTGTCAATAATTTTTATAAACTCATGTACATATATATATTTTAAGAGAGTTAAATTTTATTATATATTTTAAAAGAGCTAAATTGTGCATGCATTCTGTCGATATTTATTAAGACACTCCAAAAAAAGAAAAATTTAAAATTTGTAACAGGTTACATCGGTAGACTCAAACAAAATGGAACAAATTATAGTCAAGGATAAAAATGGAATGTTAGTAAACTTAATAGAATTATTGAAAAGTGAACAGGTATGTTCTCTAGACGAAATAAATCATCTGAGTGAATTTCCCACGATTTGCGTGAATCTTCCCGTCAGTTTCCCGAACAGTAGTCCGAGACGAATTATCTCGAGCATATGAAGGGTTTACATGCAAGACTCACATTCAAGATCTTGTCCTTATAGAAATATCAATTATAAGTACGATATAAGAAGTATACACTTGAGTATACGTTTACTGGAATGGAATGGAATGGAATTTTTACTGTGTCCCCTCGAGGATTACGGACTACTACTTTTTCCAACCTTATCCTTTTCCTCCTCCTTCTCTAATCGTTGGACCCACTGTTTAGCGTCTCTTCCGAAAGACGTGAGAGAGCCCACAGTTTTTCCACCGAGATAATCCCCGATCCGGTGGTGAGCGCAGCGCAGAAAATATTCCATGGTTACATGACTCAGTGGACTCGAACCCGCGATCTGCGAGTTACGAGTCTGGCGCTCTATCACTGACAATGAGCCACACTGCCGCTCTGAGTATAACATACGTTTACTGATAATATGTGTTTCGTCAAGGATATCATCATTATATGTTATTTAAGTTGTTTAGAAACGCGATATTTCAATTTGCCAGGAATAAAGCATTTAATTGATATAATGCGGGGCAAATATAATATTGTGTTCGATAGCGAGATAAAACAGACTTCGCCTTTTACGATTACCTGTACTCACGTACTATATTCCTTTCCAAGCATAGCCTTGGCATGTACTTATGCAGCAACCAAAATACCATGTTCTTCAGACTTTTGTATATTTATGAATTCCTTAACACTTAGCGTATCGAAAAGAATGATTTTGAGCGACGTGATTCCTTCAGTTCTCCCTAAATTAGAGGCACCGTGGCTCTCTTTAACATGTCTCGTGGCGATGAAAATAGATGCAATTCGATTTATTTTAGTGCCTATTGAAACTCAATTATCAAAAATTTGTCAAGATGCCATTGATTTATATAATTCTGAAGCTTTGAAATTGAAGTTATGCGAGAGATGGAACATTATACAAAGAGTCAATGAACAACCAGTATAAATTTACCGATTGTTTTGAACGACATTATCCTGTTGCTACAAAAAAACTATTAGAGATAGAACAGAGACGAATGTCTGATATTATACTTATAATATTTAGAAAGCGCAAATTTCTTTATTTTTTTATCAACTTGCATTAATATTTATTTAAGGTTTCATTATATAAATGACAATCTAAAATTGACATAAAAATTTAAGAAATCTAATCTGTTCCGAGGAAAATATATACATACATACATAAATGCAATGGTCACTTTTGAATACTTTATCATTGTGAGAGAAAGACTTCTCTCTTTTAATTGTGCGTGCGTTTGTGTTAAATAAGCTGAATATTATCGCTAAGAAAATATAATGCTATCGATTTTGATGGTGTATGTGGTACGAAGTGCCAAAAAGTTCGTGAATAATATCTCGCAAACGACATTGAAATATTTGTGCATCTTTGCAAAATCTTAAACTTCTGAAAAAATAATTTAATGCACAAAGCAGAGTTACAATATTATTTATAAGATGTGTGTATAATACAAACTTAAGATCTAAATAATATATAGTAATGTCTAACTTAAAATGTTTTTTTTTTATTATTTTTGTGTGGCAGACTCTAGAATAATAATGATAATAATAAAAATATTTGAAAAAACTGTTCTGATGATGAAATCTACTATAAAAATCATGATCCTGCCAAAATTCAAGTATTTTCTTTATATAATGATAATTTTACTACAATTTCGTGAAATTTTGGATATATGTTTGTGTGTGTATGTAAGGAGGAGAGAGAAAAAGGTTTCTATTTATCTACAAGAAACTATTTTCTAATAATTTTGCATCTAATAATAGTAATGATCAAAGAAGGAAATGTAATGATAATGTTGAGTGTCATCTATTTGAATGATGTTTTGTTACACATTTACGAAATTGTTTCTTTCTCCTAACAGCTGTTTGAAAGTAATTTCAGAAAATTGACATTATTAAAAAAAAGTTAGATGAGACAATAATATAAAAATCATACTGTCAGTTGGCTTCAATACCCTATAAAATTAAAGTGATATATAAAATATAAATTTTTTAAATTTGAAATACTACAATGTGGAAAGTATATACATAAATAATAAATGTAAACCATGATGATGGAAGATATTAGAATTAATGCGCGTGATTTTGATATAGATATACCTATATAATTTACAAAGTATATAAATATGCAAAGATATGCGAATGAGCAATTTATTAAATCATTTTCTTAAAAAAGATTTTGGATGTTTTTTTTAATTTTTATAATGAAATATAAAATTTTAATAATTATAGATTATCACAAATCGTCAGTACATTTAATATTATCAATATATAACGTAAATAAGAATAAATATTTTATTTAGTATCTTCTGATAGAATGTATATATATATGTATGTCGTTAATATTTTATTATTTTACAAAATTAAATTCTGAAAGAGTGATGGCAAAAAGACTGTTTTTTTTATATTAATTATTCGCATTTTGACGAAGTTTCGGACATTAACAACATTGGAACGAAAGAATTCCCTGATCTAAATGTAACTAAAATAGTTGATAGTACCGACAATTTATTCGACCACTAAATAGTTTTATTCATTTCGAATATAATTGGTAACTTTTATCATATTTTAATTGTTAAAAGGTTAAATGTATCTATTCTTCAGTTGAAAATATTTCAAATTTTTTATGTTAATATTTAAAAGATATATTGCTATATATATAATTTAATATATATTAGAATCACTAATAGTTATTGAAGTATAAAGACTTAAACATATTAATTTAATCTATTCTGAATTGACCTAATCATATTAATAATACTGTAATTTTGACCCTCTCTAAAAGATTTGGCAAGGTATCTTGGAACGTAATTTTATTTTAATGAGTTCAATTAATTTTATTGAGTATTTGCACGTGTTAAAATATTTTGTATTTTAGTAAGAATAATACTATTACTACACGTACAATTTTCGGGATAATATGGAGGTTCTATCGATACAGTATCTTCAATCATTAGAACATCATTCTCCTCTTTGACCGGAAATCGATTATCTAATAATAATTGCAAAACAATACCCTTTCTTTTAACAACTTCCTGTGAAAGTTTTTCAGGTAGAAATAATTCTGACAGGATTTTTTTTGTTTCCGATATTACTTCGATATTCTTAATGGCATGGTTGAATATTATTTTTAAACGATGCTGCATAGTTGTATCTGATTGTAAGAGCACAAAGCTGTAAAATAATATCAATATTTGCAATTAATAAAAATTAATCATTTCAAATTTAAAACATAAGGAATCATGAAATTATTGTGAAATAAGATATAAATAGAGATATAAACGTATGAAATAAATGAAATAAGTAATGAAAGTTATTGAGAAATTTTTTCTGGAAATAACATTTGTAAAAATAAAATAACTACAAATACAAACAAGAAAATAAAATAAAATATAAATTTAAAAAATTGAAATTTATAATTCTTTTATATAAATACAGAATGACTCATAAAATAATCTCTATAGAAATAATTGTAAAATTTAATTTAAATTATAAAGGTCCGAAATAAACATACTCTAGAAATAAAAATAAAACTATATATATATATATATATATATATATATATATATATATATATATGTAATTCTGTAATAAATTATATGACTAACTTTTAATTTTCTAAATTTAATAAAAAAATATATATTTATGTACATATATGTATGTATATATATATATATATATGTACATAAATATATATTTTTTTATTATTAAATTTAGAAAATTAAAAGTTAGTCATAATTTATTACAGAATTACATGATTCCATATATTCAATAAATATATTCTTTTTTCTAACCTTTCTGACACTGGATCAACTGTATAAATAGTACCAATAATATCCTCATCTTTCGTTGTTATTTTAACCTCTTTTCCAACATAATTATTGAATAAAATTGGATCATTCTTGTATACTTTATGCAAAAAATCCAAATTATCTTCTTGCGAGCTCATATTAAAAATTGAAACTGTAGGAATTTTAGGTTAGGAATGTATTTACGTCACTGACAAATGACAAGAACTGCAAAAGCATCTCTGTGAGACGAAGAAACCTCTCGAATGTATATTTATAAAAATAGTGGTAAAAGAATAAAGTTTTTCGAAAAATCCTAATTGTTTCACCGAGTATGTTATAGCGGAATTATAATATAAAACTTATTTGAATATGATATAAAACTACAAGAAAAGCCTGATAAATTATATAACCTCCAAACAAAAATGGTGATATACGGTGTTTATATCGTGTCAAAATCTGGTGGTTTGATTTTTAATCACGATCATAATGTCCCGAAAATTGAAGTCGAAAAGTCTTTTAACTTTCCACTCGACATTAAATTAAATTACGAAAATAAAAAGGTGGTGGTAGTTTTTGGGCAACGAAATGGGATAAATGGTAAAGATATTTCTATTATCATAATAAATATTTATAATTATACAGAGTGAAAACTTAGTTACTGAACTCAGTTCTTGAAATAATTAAAATTTATATAAATATATATATATATATGTTCACAAAACTCGAGATTAAGTTTTTTAATAATTTTGAAGTACATCTGTCAATTAGAGTTAATATGTTAGAATAATCTTGTTTTCTAATATAAAAACAAATATATTTTGACACTATAGTTAAAAACAAATTGATAATTATTAAAGAAATATAAAAAAGAGATTATTTAGAAAAGCAGCAATGTGCTAAATTTGTAATTTAGAATCAAATTAAAATTAAAATTTTGCAAAAATATATGTATATGAAGCTTATAGACACTTTCTTATATATATATAATTTTTTTGCATTATTTCCATGTAGAAGACATAAGCAATATTTTTTTATTCTACATATACATGTATAATTTAATAAAACACTAAAAGAAAAATAATATTTTCAGTGGGTCATGTACTGACTGCTGTGAATGGAATTGCAGTCACAGGACGTGAACTTGAAGATGGGCGAGATGCACTGGAAATGTTAGAACAGCCAGAAAATTTTCCTATAACATTGAAATTTAGTCGGGCAAAAATGACAACAAATGAGAAAATATTTCTAGCATCAATGTTTTATCCACTCTTTGCTATAGCAAGTCAACTTAGCCCGGAACCACGAAGTTCTGGAATTGAAGTTCTCGAGGCAGACACATTTCGTTTATATTGCTTCCAGACATTAACAGGCATTAAATTTATGATAGTAGCAGAACCATCACAACCAGGTATGGAAATTTTGTTGAAAAGAGTATATGATTTATATGCAGATTATGCATTAAAGAATCCATTTTATGCACTGGAAATGCCTATTCGATGTGAACTGTTTGAAACAAATTTACAAACATTATTAGAAACAGTCGAAAAATCTGGTATAAGCAATGTTTAATGCATTTATTATAAAAGAATTATTAATTAAAAATGTAAGATTACTAAATAAGAATATATTTTATATAATATTATATATATGTATATAGAGCAGAATTTTTTATTAATTTTTATTATATCTATTATATTATATATCAAGTTAATTTTTATCACATAATTAAAGCTTTAATTATTTGATAAAAAACTGATTTTTCCCTATATAATCAAACTCCTCTATTATTTAACTGTTTCATATTTCTGATATAAACATAAAAAAAATATTAGGAAAGCATTAGTGTTTAAGAATCTCATAGATTATGGCACTATATTCCACTGTCGTTTTAAATCAGGTTCTGTAATCTGTAAATACAGAGAAAATGTATATTAAACATACTATATATAAAAATAAAATTAGAAAATTGAATTTGAACTTTTTTAACATTAAGATACCTTCATTGTTAAATTATCTATGCACGCATTACGTATACGTGCAGCAGTGGCAGGAGCATCAAGTCTAAAATAGCCATGAATATTCATATCTTTACGTGCAGCCGTAATTGCTTCTTTGATAGCGAAGAATGCGGATGATGCCAGAAATAGCGGTGGTTCGCCAACCGCCTATAGAAATATTTTTAAAATATTTATAAAGTCTCCTAATTTTCTATATTATTATTCTATTTTTTCTCTTTTAATTTAAAATGCATTCTGAAAAAACTATTAAAAAATCCTACCTTAGAAGAGTATACCGCTCTTGGATTAGAAGCTCCTTTTAACAGCGAAACATTAAATTCTTGAGGTATGTTGGTGAAACCCGGCAATTTGTACGCGCCAGGTCCTCTACTGAATAAAGTTGCCGTTGGTGAATAAATCATTTCCTCTAATGTGAATAAACCATATCCTTGAATAAAGCCTCCTTCGACTTGTCCTATGTCAATGGCTGGATTTAAACTCTCTCCCAAATCCATGACAATATCTGTTCGTAAAATCTGTAAAAGATTAAAAAATATTATTCATATTTATTTTAGAAAGTTTTTAATATATATAGCATATTAACAATAATTAATCATTTTCTGTAATTTGGAAATTCTATGAAATTAATTATAATAAAAAAATCACTATTGAAACATGCGTTATTAAAGTCACAATCTGATTTGAATTTTAGAACTTTGTCAATGTAATGAGATTAAATATTCTAACCATGCAAAAATGTTTATAAAAAAAAATTAGTCTTTTATATCACATATAAAAACAAACACAAAAAGTCGCGTACCTCATGATCACCAGTGAGACAATCAATTTCAACTTCCGTACAGGCGACTCCATACGTAAAGTAATTAAAAGGATTTCCCGTATTAGTATCGAAAGAATATCCGATATCAGGTGTTCGATAAAAACCAGCAGCAGACAGGCTTATCCTTTGACGATATGCTTCTTTGATCCAATCTTCCCATGTACTTTCTAGATTGCTATTTATTATCGGTTCTAATCGTTCCATAATTTCTTTGCAAGCATTCTGCAAATTAATTTTATTACTATCTAAATCTTTAATTGCATGCAATATTATTTATTGTTATTACCATAACAGCCATGCCATTTAGATCGGATCCGGCACTTGCAGCGGTAGCAGATGTATTGGGAACTTTGTCAGTAGCCGTTTCAACAATATGTATTTTGTCTGGATTTACTTTTAGTACTCGGCTAGCAACCTAATATAATAAATATAGTAAATTTATTATTTCAAGCTCAATTGCTATCAATTAATTGAAATTATTAAATAGCTTTAATTAGAATAATCTCCAATTTATATATTTATTTTTCTCATTTAATTTGTAATTTTAAAATTTAGTTTTTCAAAAAAGAATATATTATTTTCAATCGTTCACAAATTTTCTCGTCAATTCTTTATCAAAGAAAAACTTATTCCAAATTGATCAAAAAAATCCAAATAGATAAAACATGATTTAATAATGTGCTACAAGAAAAATATAGATATTATTCGTACTTGAATCATTTTTGTATGTAGACCTTGTCCCATCTCAATGCCACCATGGCTTATTAGCACCGAGCCATCGGTATAAATGTGCACCAAAGCACCTGCTTGATTCAAAGTTAAAGCAGTAAATGCTATGCCGAACTTTGTAGGTACGACCGCGAGACCTTTCTTTCTAAATCGATTCTCTCTACGAAATTAATTTTAGCAATTGTTAAAAATATAGAAAAATATAAAAGAAAATACAATCACTATATACTCACCTGTTATAACGTTGAACTTCGATTATTCTTTCATTATAACGAGAAGACGCTATGCATTCACGCCAGCAGCGATCCAAGGTACAATTGACAAGTTGCTGATTATAATGCGTTAAATCGCCTTCTTTGTATAAATTTAATTCTGACAACTGTCATGAAAGAATTTTTTCGATTACTTTCTCATTTACTTATAATGTATAAATTAAATATTTACATATATATATCAAATTCTAATTTAATTTTGTAAGATTAAGACATCTCTTTTTCTGTAGTTATTTTAATTTTGTTTAACACTGAAAATTACCTTGACGACATCCAGTTTTAGATAATCAGCGATTTGTCGAATAATATTTTCAGCGACAAACATGCCTTGCGGTCCACCAAAACCACGGAAAGCTGTATTTGATGGTAAATTTGTTTTACATACGTATCCATGTACTTCTGACACCGGAATTCTATATGAATTTTCAAAATGGAACATGGCACGTTCTAACACCTAAAAATATTCAAAATAATATAATTCTCTTTCACACACATATCATATGTAAAATTTTGATAAATTAAAAAAAATATCACATCTTGAATCCACAGGTTGTTACTTACCGATATTGATAAATCGAAGGAATAGCCTGCATTATTGTATATATGTGTTTTCGCCACTTTAATGAGACCATCATTATTAAATCCTACTTTATATTTAAATAAAAATGGATGCCGTGTTCCACTTATCAACATGTCTTCGTCTCTGTCCAGCATACAACGAACTGGTTTCTGCAACCTGTTTCATTTTTTTCAACGATATAGTAAATCGAGACTAGGCATTTCTATTATTGTATAGTTATTATTATATAATTATTATTATAAATTAATAAAGTTTGATATAATAAAATTGAAGAGAACTGATAGACAGTTTCAGTTTAGAGATTATTGAACAAAATAATTGTTGTCTAAATATTTTTGTTACATCCTTATATTCAGGAATAATAGCGAGTATTATATGTAACAATAATATATATATATTTAAATGTGTTTTTATTCAATTTTAGTACATACCTGTGAGCTGCGAATGCAACTGGTATCGCGAGCAAAGCTGCGCGGGATTCTTTTCCGCCGAATCCGCCGCCTATACGCTTCACGCGAACATTAATTCTATTGATATGTATATTTAAAACGTGAGCGATTAATTTTTGTATCTCAGTAGGATGCTGCGTGGAACAGAATACTTCCAATTCATCATCTTCGTGAGGTACAGCAATAGCAGCATTTGTTTCCAAGTAAAAGTGCTCTTGACCACCCATGCGTACTTCTCCTTCTAAAACATGATCTGCTTCCTTAAAAGCTTTCTCTGCATCGCCTTTAATAATGCTCTTGGATAAGCCAGAGAAGAACGATTTGTGCTCGATAGCATCCTATAGAAGAAAGTTTAATTTATGTATTATTGCGTTGCGATCCTTGAATATTATTATTTTTTTATATAGATTCTATACTTTAGAATACCTCGATAGATATGATAACAGGTTCTATATTTTCATATTCTACTTCGACCATTCTTGCCGCAGTCTGAGCAATAATTTGATCTGTAGCAACGATTGCACCAATTATCTGACCTTGACTTGTAACCTAAAGAAGTAAAAAGGAATTAATTAAAATATAATAAAAGACGAATTTTAAATACAAAACAAATTGGTATTCAGTCACTAATATGTTATTGTATAAATACTATATGTTACGAAGTTTCCAAATAAAAGATATATATATATATATATATATATATATATATATATATATATATATGTTCTGTTATTCCCAGCCAATAAAATAAAAAAGAAGAATTACTTTAAGAAGAGAGTTATACCTTTTCTGATACAAATATTTCTTCATCATGTATTACAGGGCCCACCCTTATGTCTTTTGCTATATCTTTCGAAGAGAAAAATGATACAACTCCTTCCATGGATAGTGCTTTAGTAGGATCAATTTTCAAAATTTTTGCATGTGCTCTAGTAGAGAGAACTAACGTTAAATATAATTCCTCTGAATATTTAGGCATATCATCGCAATATATCGCTTCTCCCGTTGCTTGCTTGAATGCACTAGCATGCACAATAGGGCGTCCTATTAGATCATGTGATTCTTGGTCTTTAGGTACCTGTCGAGAAAATTATAAACTGTTATATAATTCTTATCGTATTTTAAGAATAATTTGTGTAATTATTTGAATTAAAATATTACCACTTGGTAATATTGTGAGCTCTTTGGCGCTTTGTAATGGAAACACTCTGATGCGCTTTCTAGTTCCTTTGGCAAGTATTCTACAGTCGAAATATTTTTCGATAATTTCTTGGAGATGTGTACAAATCCTTTAAAGAATAAACTGTAAAACATGTTAATCATATCAGGTTTTACTTTGATTTACTTTGATTTTAAAATTAAATTTAATCATTAACTTGATCTAATATCGCACCTGAGAGTAAGAGATCGACGATATTTAATCATTCCTCCTGGTGCATCATCAACCAACGGTAGTTCTTCGAGTAAAGAATCGTAAATCTCCTCTAAGATTGATTTATTCCATTTTCTAAAATTATGAATTCATATAATATACATGCGCATATATATATATATATATATAGAAGCTTGACCCATGTGTCATTTGATACTTACTTTCCAATTATCTTCTGGCAGGTTTGTCTTGCTAAAATAGTTGTAGGCGCCATTCCACCAAATGCGATATGCGCTTCCTGAACTATATTTTTATCAGGAACGAAGTGTACATTCAAGGCCATATTGACTATAGCAATATCATCATCCCGTCTTTTCGCTTGCTTGTAAGCAATGAAATATTGATTCTGTAAGAAGGAAGAAAGAATAAAGTAGAGTAAGAATAATCTTTTTTTTATTTCGACATATATTTTACAGAATTATTGATTTTTATTGATATTAATATACATGTATTCTTACCTCTTTTGTGAAGGGAATATCGATGGAGACTAATACTTCCTCGGGCAAAACAACGTTACGTCGATATCCAACAAAGAAGGTGTGATCCATCGGTACAGTTCTACTTCCATGCTTTAAACTGCATAAATTTAATTTAACACATGCTGCCATAAAGATCGGATTTAAATCTGATATTGGACTACCTGTCATTATGTTGCCGCCCACGGCCTAATTATTGGAACAAAAATTATTGTTTTAATTAAGTTACTTATAAGATCATTAAACGAACACTTACAGCAACATTTCTTATCTGTTTCCCGGCAAACCAATGTAACATGTTTATTATTTCTGTAAAGATCCTCGTGTTGTGTTCTGTCAGAAAAACATTGCATGATATATATATATATATATGTTATAATTTTTTATGCAATTACAATGAACATAATTCTATCATATTACCAGGTTTTATCTTAATATAATGTTTTAATGCTTCTTCAAGCTCAACCAAAGTCACACTTGCACCCACTTTCAATGCCTCTTGTGTTTCAATTATTTCATGTATCTCTTTTATCTGTGTTGGTTGTATAAGTACTGGATATATTAGGTGTTTAAATTTCACCTCGACTCTATAATACACAAATAACATTTAACTAATTTTCTTTTATGTGATACTGCAGTATTTGAAAAAAATATGCGAACCAATTTCTGTGTTGCCAATGACAATTTTGGCATTTGGATACTGTTCTTTCAGGGCAAGTAGTGTCTTAAAATTGTTGGTCTGTACCAACTAACGTTTTTCCTCTCACTATCAGATATTGCTCATCTAATGTAGATTCAATCTGCATAATAAAAATTTTCATATTATTTTTTTCTATAGCTTCTACTATAATATAAAAACATGTTATTTGTGTTGACATTTTTTAGAAGTAGACAATAATTTACTTTTAGTTTTGGTGGAAATATTGGTTCTTGAGTAGGATTATACGGGCAAAATTCTTTAGAATTGAAAACCTCGGTTGGCTCTGAAGTGAAAACCCTTTTACAGCAAGCATCGCCCATTGAACAAACTCTTGTATCATTTATTTTTTCTTCTCGTACAGTAGCCGTCAATTGCGATTGCTCCCATTCCTCTGTAAAAGTCTTGAATCCCTCTATAATCGGCCTATAGCCTGTACATCTGCATAGATTACCTAGAAGTAAAATACATTACTTAAAAAAAATATACTATACTTAATTAATCCGTCCTATATTATTTATTTCTATATAAAATAATTTTTTATAGTTATATGTAATTATATATAATTATAGTTATATATTAAATATATATACACTATATCTACATATAGAAATTATATAATAAAGAGGAAGGATTTTTAAGTATATTACCTTGAAATGCAATTTCTAAATTTTCCATAGTTGGTTTTGGTATGCTGCGTAACAGAGCATACATAGACATAACTATACCAGGTGTACAAAATCCACATTGTGATCCATGTGCTTTGGCGATACGTTCTTGTACTGGATGCAATTTCGTTTTTGTGCTACCAATACCTTCCACAGTAGTTACAGCTAGACCATGCACAGCACATATTGGTGTCAAGCATGCATTAACAGCTAAATGACTGTTTTGATTTGTATTAAAAGAATGTAAAGAAATAAATTTAGTAAAAGAATGTAAATATATATATATATATATATATATGTTTTAAGTCACTGTGTATTATTGCATATCAAGGATACATAATTCTGCCAGTGGTACGATCAAATCTTGAAATCATAACTGTACAGGCTCCGCAGCCTCCTTCTGCGCAGCCAAGTTTTGTGCCAGTTAATCCCACTAAATTATTATAATTAAGGATTAATTAATCGATATTATCTTGATGTAAAAATGTTTATATATATATATATATATATATATATATATAAGGATACGTTTGTAGCGAAGATACCATAAAAGTGTCCATTGTGGTTCTACATTCTTGTCTAATACCTAAATCATATAAAATATTTAATATTTAATAATATTTATTAATATTTCAGCAGAAATTACAAGGTTGTCATATACCTGCTTTCCATTCACATAAAATACAAGAGTATTTGATATTTGTGTTTCTTGTAGCTCGTCGCTTGGTAAATCCGTTTCATGAAATCCATTAAACATTACATTCCCATTGAATATATTCGGTTCTTTGATTAAGTTCTTTTCCATTTTTAAATTAATATACTCCTGCACTCTTTAATATATGACTCACTGTGATATACTTGAAGTATTTACAATGCTATTCTGTGAGATAAATATTAGCAGGTATACGAATAATCCAATTTTGCTTCAACAATGTAGAATACAACCACTATTGCAATCCTCGTTTTATACAATATTGTCAAGACTGTAATAAAAATCGTTGTTCCACTTGTCAGTTTGCAAGAAAAGTAAACACAATGTGTATATATAATCACATATATTATACTCGTTGACAATTATGTAAATACAAGTTTGTTGATGAGTTTCCATATTTTTTTTTAATTTCAATTATATTTATAAACTTTATTAGTTATAATGCATCAAACGCGAGAATCGTTTTATAAATTTTACAGCTCGGTTCTCACTACTTATAACAGTTTCTATCATATTTAAGTAGATTATAATTGATTAAATTGACTCCCTTCTCTGTGATCTCAACATATATATATGTGTTATTCAGTCCTTTCGATGCACGGAGAACGGTACAATGAAACGTATCCTCTTTCAAAATAAATAAAGTGATTTAATACGATTTACTTTATCACCTTCTTTAATGAAAGTTTTAATAATTTCTTAATTCTCAATTACTCTTAAAATCGCGTTAAACATAAATAGAATATATAAATATTAAATTAGTGATTTTTATATTACATATTTAATATATAACGTAAAATTGTGAATTTTTAACTATTTTTAGAACAGTATTTTAATAAAATTTCTTCATATATATATTTTCTCATCTAAGCTTAAGATTCTAATCTAAGATTCGTCTCTCTGTTTAATCGCATTTTTTAAATACGTCTCTAGTTCTTTTCTCTTTCCTCTATTATATATCGATCTTTTTATATAAAATGGTGCAAACAAATCTTTTTTGTAAATTTTGGTCAAAAGTTGTAACATACGTATATGATACATTTCGTTAATATATGAAACAAAACATTAATATACTCGTATATATTATTCTCGTTAAATATAGAGATGTAAGAGTGCAATAACAATTCTCCCGCATTTTATTTTATAAAGAGATGATATATATGTTTACCAGATAATTAATATAATACACGTATTGTGATAACTTCACTATGCGAAAATAAATAATTATCACGATAAAATATATATCCAATATCTACTACCGTGCCTTTTCATGAGCCGCTGAAACCGATTGTTTGAGCGACAAAAATGATCACATAACAACTTTTGTCGCTGAACTATATAGCAAATTTTTGTAGATGAAAAGGATAACAGCGCGAGAGATTGAAAGTTGAGCGTTTGACTAGTAAATGCTTTGTAGTTGAACTGATTCAAACTACAAAATTGTTTAGCACCAACAATGACAAATCTGTCGCTTCAATCACTTGTTTTAGCGGCACGTGAAATTGCACCTTAAGAGTAATACTGTATCTTATCACAATCATTTATCTTCGATCTGTTTGCTGATGACTAAGATTTATAGAATATAAATGAGCAAACATGTGTTAAGTAATTAAATGTTAAATAATGTAAATCGTATTTTCCTAAGCGGAAAAAATAAACGACACATTAATTCCACATATAAAAATATTTTCTTATTAATAAAAATAAATTTATATAAAGATAAAAAAATATCTCTATATATTTTTTTCGATTAATTTTAAATAAATTTTATCATTTCGTAAAAATTTTTTCTTGAAAATTAATTAAGATTCGACAATTAAGAAATAACAAGTAAATATCTCTTGTATTTTTATTAAAAAAAGAACCGAGTTAAAAAATACACTTTACTATCAAGTTCGTATATTTTTAAAATGCAATCGGTGGAGAATACACAGAATGTAAAACGGAGTATTAGAAATGCAGTATGTAATTCTTATATAACAAGTTACAGATATATCTACAGATGTATCTACAGATGTATATCTCTGTATCATAACAATTAAGCAATACAAATTTTTACGAATTACTGAATAACACGATTACTAGAAAAACTTGAGCTAGAAGTTGTTGAAATTATTACTTTCATAGAACGAAAGTGAAATACACATGAAAAGTTCACGAAGGTCGTGATTACATCTGAATTGCATTTGTTGCAACACTTAAGCGTCAGAAGCAAAATAAAAAAAACAAGACGCAATATTCACCTAAGAGTCATCTGCGATTGAATACATAACGTGAATGTAGAAATATTTATCAGCACAAAGCAGTATTAATATTTGTGTAAAAAGACCATACGCACCATTACAATGTCTTTATTTTCGTGAACGTCGACACTTCACGTAATAGAATAATCACACCCGTTCGGCGTCGCTGCACGTTCTAAACTAGTCAAGCGAATCCGAGCAGTAAGAGTAAAAGTGACATAAGGGTTATCATTGGAAGATACTTTATATCTTCTGACTGACGTATTATGATATTGACGAATCTAATCTCATGAGAGATAATCTCTTTTTTCTTTTTAAAGCATGTTTTTTCTATTTTGCTTTTTAGAAACAAGAGCATATTTCCCTAGACTCTAATTGATTAGTGTTAAGCTGATAGTTTCTCATTGAAAAGATTGCGCTTAAACAAATCGTTGAATATTAATTAGAAAAATATTAATAGAAATTTGATTAACTGTAAGTTATGCAATCGCTTTATTGTGAAGGTATCGCGGCGCTGGAACGCATAACATTCCAAAACAACAACCATATCGGCAACATAACAGCGGTAGTAACGTTGTAAAACCAGTTGCCGTATATCATAGAGTCTACAATACTGAATACAAGCGCTTGCTTGTTTGCGCGATAGCCTCTGAGAAGTAGAGATACTACAGGATCAGTGGAAAAATTGAAATACGTGTAGCCCATCACGACTATTGCCGATGCGAAGAACGGATGAAGTATAATCCACGCGATGTATTGACAATTGCGTAATCTATATAAAGCAAAAATATCATTGCTTAAGGCAGCTGGCTCCTCTACCGACCATGTTGGAATTGTGACATCAGAGGCGAGAAAACATATACTAAAAATTCTTAGATGTTATTTCGAAATAAAGATATTTCAGAACAACATTTCAGATGACTTTAACACTCTTTAACACTTTAATGAAAAGATGTTTTGATGGCTTTAGCTAACATACTTTTAAAATACCTCGAAAACTATCCCTTTCTCTTTATAATCAATGAATAACTGTAACATGATTATAATATGAGGCCTAATCCGTCTCATCTTTACACATGGGCAGTCATTCCACATGACAAAATCATTTTACAGTTGTTGATTGATTCTCAAGGGAAAAGAATAGTTTTCGAGGTATTTTAAAAGTATGCTAAAACCATGGAAATATCTTTTCATTTAAAAATGGCACATAAGAGTTTTCAGTGTATTTTCTCTCATCTCTGATACCACAATCTAACATGGTCGCAGCGAGAACTCAGGAGCCTTAATTGAGATGAAAGTATTTACAGTAGAGCTAAATAAACAGAATCAATGCTCACCTCGATGCAGGTTTATGATGTGGTGTTATTAATAGTACAACCGGTACATACACAACGGCTGTCAATAATGCTAATGAAAAATTATGCATAGCTATGCACATTAATGTAGTTGCCAGTTCGATTGATGCGATAACGCAGACAAGCGAAATATTCTCGTATTTGATCGACCTAGAAATTATATTCTAGCGTTAGCATTATAGAAATTATAACACTACATGATTAAGCCTTGTCATTTCTTGTTTCTACCTTCTCAGATAGAAACGTCGCAACAATGTGAGAATCGTGATAAGGGCGAAACTGGCATATAAGGAATCCTCCGTACGTAGGTGGAACATTCGTGACCCGATTGAAGCAAAAAATCGAGGAGATGCCATTATTAATACTCCAAATATGTGTGCCCACAACACTTCTGAAGCGACACCTCCAATATCAAATTCTTCAACCTGTGCAAAAAATAGAAATTTAAGATAAAAAATGTATATCAGCTGAATATAGTCAAATTCCCTTATTTCTAGCTACTGAAAAAAAAAATACTAAGAATTCTGAGTTTGATGCTAATATATTAAAAATAAGGAAATTTAATCTTATTTAAAATTGTTAAAGTACCTTGTTCAACGAATTTTGTTTGTCCTTTTTCGTTTCATTCGAGTTACTCGAGGCTTGCAATCTTTGCCAAATAGAAAATGCCTTTATAAATACACTAGCAATAATCAGTACCAAAGGTCGCATATATAATCCTGCAAAATAAGTTTTATTTATTCATCTTACTCATAGAAATATTAAAGATATTCAGGTTTTTAATTTCTTTTCTCACCAATAGAAATATATCGATCAGTAGAGGGCAATAGATAAAAGAAGTATGATTGATGGAATCGTTCTAACAAATTATTGAGTGAGCGCACTATACTTTCCACTATACGTCCTACTTGATAAAAATTTGCTTCCGTCTCTTTGCCAGATTTTTGGAAACCCTCTAATGTAATAGCCTCTATACCAAATCTATAGACAAATTATGGTTAAGAACAAAAATTAATTTTATTTAAATATAAAATATTAAATATAAAAATAGAATGATTAATTAAAAGTTTCGAAATAATAATTTTCTCTTCTGTTTTTTTGACGAACATTTATAAAAGATTATTTTCTAATTCTTTATAAACTGATGTTTCTTTTTTTTCTATTAATTTATTTAGATGATATCACAAGTAAGACATCTCTAAATTATCGTAATCTTATATTAATGTTTTAATACCTGTGGAAAAGTCCATGATTACCAGTCGGAATACCAGTGGCTTGTGTTACTACCATACTCATTAATGTATTAAAATGATATCCCCAACTTTTTAATTTATCTCTATAATTAACATCAAATCGACGTTGGAAAGTTTGTCGAATTCCTTCTTTGGTTATCATATTTTGTGCTAAATTAAAAAGATCTAAATTTGGTAATTGCCCGTTCAATCCTTCTATCTAATAATAAAAAAGATAATAATTTTAATTTTAAACATATGCTGTATAATGAATATTGTATACAATCAAAGTCAATGTTTTGAATACTTTTGTACCTTGACATCAATTGATGTAATTTTCATTGCATGAAATTCCAAATTGATAGCAGCTTGAATAGATCCAGCTCTTCCCGATAAGTCTCCTGCTATCAAAATTCCTTCTTGGCCACTAGTAACTCCATGATATGCGTCTAACCATGCCTGCATACCCAATTGCTCGTGTTCAGTTACAAGAAATATTATATCTTTTGCCCAATACTTTTGTTCTGTAGATAAATAATCACATATATAATAATAATCAACAAATACAGTCTAATATGTCATCTGATGGTCTGACAAGACTATTAACACATGACATATTAAAATATGATGACACATATGATGACATTAAAATATATTAGTGATTATTTAATATTAAAGAGGAAGATTTACTTCTGCAAAATTTTGCAAATGCAAGTAACAGTGCTACCGAAGGTGCAGTATCTAGATAAATGCTATTAATAGGTCTATATGGCACACTGACTACAATAGCTTCGGTACTGGCTGCCCGTGGAGCTCTAACAATGCCATATATATTTTGTCCTACAAACTGTAAAATTTTACATTTATTTATATGTAAAGTAAAAGAATCTCATATATTTATATCTTGTGTAGAGTCATGACTGTGTTCTATCATACCTTTTGTTCTTGGAAGGGATAAATCAAAGAGAAATTATGTATAAATACATCCAAATGAAGCTGGCTGAATTTGGCGGAAAGCCATGCATAAGGCATACTGTCTGGATATCTCTTCATTTCGTGAATTAATTCATGATAGTACTGCTTTGACGTCTGTTCCAAATTACTCTCTTTTGTAACCAATCCAGGCAGCAGGGCATTCTCAGAGAAGTAGGTATCTAAAAGTCAAACGTCAAATAAATAACATTGGCATGTAAAAATTGAAATTACATTATATTAGCTGTGTACTTGATTCAAATTGTAAATCTCTTTTATCTCGCAAGAATAACTTACTGTCATTAAATGCCGGTAACGCCAAGAGCATCAGCCATACGATTCCACCGATATATAATGTAAAACACAACGGTTTCTCCATTTTAACAATAATTTTATGAGTTTACCACTTCCAGCTCTAGGATCTGTTAGCAGACCCATCTCGTTCGTCTGACAGTCGAAAGAAATCCAAGTAATCACAAGATACGACCCGCTTCACTTATCGCAGTATCATATAACCTAAAAGATGACATATAACCTACCAAAAATACATTTAGTGCTGAATAATTTTCTTGATGGAAACTTTCACATAGTATATTAAAATAAAAGTCTAGCTGTCTAATAAAATTGCGAACATCCTTAATAAAAGCAAGAAATAACCATATTTATGTGTTCGACGCCAAAACTGGCAGTGCGGCAATAAAAATCATTCATACACGTATCGTATACGTCGTCCATTCATCTGTGACGTCACATATGAATGAACGTATATCAATTGTGAATGATATATGTATCGATATTAATCGATTAATATATCTCTAATATTCAATTGTCAGATACATATGGATCTAATTACTATAATTTACTATCGCAGTTTCAATTTACTCTAAAAATTATACATGTAATAAAATGATAGATAAAAAATAAAGATGAATCACAAAAGTCGAATCACCGCAATAATTGACTACATCTGGAAACAAATGTTTCGGGCGGAAAAAAACTTTTTATGAATTAACAAATTAAATATTTTATAGACTCGTTTTTCCCAGATAAATAACAATGTTTAT